CTGATATGAAGTTTATTCACAATCTCTAATTCTTCCACTGCTGCTTGCTTTCATTTTGCATATCTTGCTACATTTGCTGAATGCTTTGGCTTATCCAGTTTTTTAGGTTTTTTATTTCTTAAGCAATTTTCCCTCCCATCTTATAGTATTCTAGTCAGTCTCCTACTTTGGTCCATTTTGTTTTCTGCATAATTTGCTATCTTCTTTTTTTTCTTCTTCTTTTTTTTTTTTTGAGTCAGTGTCTCATTCTGTCGCCCAAACTGGAGTTCAGTGGCACACTCACGGTCACCCCGGCATCGACCTACTGGGCTCCGGATATCCTTCCTCCTCAGTCTTCCAAGTAGCAGGAACCACAGGTGCACACTACCACGCCTGGCTAATTTTTGATGTATGGTAGAGACGAGGTCTCCCCAAGTTACCCAGGCTGGTCTCTAATCTGTGGGCTCAGGCAATTCACTAGGCTGGGCCTCCCAAGGTGCTGGGATTATGGGCTGAGCCACCAAGACCAGCCTTACTATCTTCTTTATGTCACCTGTTGGTCAATGTTATCCTTCATTGGTATCGGTGTGTTTTTTACCAAGTATATGCATATTTTAAAGATAAGGTAAGGAGAAAATATTTAATTAGTCATAATGTATTATATTTTCCAGAGCTTTAAAGTACAGTATGTACATTATAACATTTTGCTCCTTGACAGTTTTTCTGTATGAAATAGTATAGCATTTCATCAATATCACTTAAATATATCAAATAGTTTCTTAACAGGGAAAAGTATTCTGTAGCGTAAAATTAAGCACCAAGTATTATAGGGAATCCCATGAACATATTTAAAGCTTGGTTATTTTTTTTTTTACAACATGCCATGGTATACCAGAATATATTTATGTAATGGTATATTCCTCAATATTAGTGTTATGAGTTCTCTCTCAATATACATTTTCTCATGCTTCATTGATAATAGAATTTTTAGCAGACACAGGCTTGTCCAGAATGCAGACTCCAATTCTCGGTTAGCCCCCTTATTGCTATATGTAGCTGTGTATGCACTGTTTATTGCACTGTTCTGCCTGTACACTATCAGGGATATGGTCACTTCTGTACTCTTTCCCCTTCCCACTGACTCGAATGTGGGTGAGGTCCCAAGATAGTGGAGCAGGTAGATAAAAAAGTGTGGATTCTAAAACACAGCCTACAGATAGGTACAAGACTATTTATACCCAACTTTCATGTATGTGTGAGAGAACTATGTTGTTTAAACCACTATTATGCTAGCTTTCTGTGACAGTAGCTAAATCTATAGCCGTACAGATATTGGGCTATATAATAAGATCCTGAAATATGTTTAGTTTATTGTTAAAATGTGAGATTTTTGTTCAAGTGTGGAGTTAGATATCTTCTCAAAGTCCAGATTATTTTTGCAATTTTTTGAAGCTAAATTTGCTTTGTAACATGGATTATTTCTTGTCTTATGTGAGCAAATAAAAATGTGTTCATGCATTTATATAATTATTATGGTTATTCAAAAATGTGGGGACTGTTTAAATAGGCTTTATGGAAGACTAAATTTTGGACTCTCTTTAATTAGTAAACCACCATCAAGAACAAACACACATTTCTTTAAGAAAAAAAGTCTAACCTCAAGCCTTTCCCTACATATTTTCCATCTTCACATCTCATTTGGTTTAAAGAGACCACTTCTTAGACTGTCTCCCTCCTCCAGATTGCCTCAGAAACTGTCTCTGAGAATTGCTTTTAACCAGCTGCCTCACTCCAGGGACCCAACCAGGCCCTGTTAGCATGGTCATTCACTAACGTTTGCTCACAATTCATTTTGTTTTTTTTTTTTCTTTGATTTCAGTGTCTTTAGTTTCACTGATGAATTTCATTACATTTTGGAAAATTATTAGAAAGGTCAATTACTATTATTAAAGATCAATATTTACATGTACTACAGATGTAGCTCTTTCCAATAAAGAATCCTAATAAATATATGTGTGGCTGTCCTTGATGATCAGAAATATCAATGGAAACTAAGAAAAAAACTGCAAAACAATGAATGCCTGCCAAGAGTTACGGGTTTCAAGGAATGATAATATTTATCTAGAGTACAATGATATTTCTACAACACTATTTCAATACATTCTGAAAATCACTCTTATAAGCTCTATTTTGCATTTCCCCCTTCAAGTCTTAGGACATTGATTATATCCTGACCAAAACCAAATCTATGCTGATAAATTTAATGAAAGATGTGATTGGTTCACATGACATGGCTCACATTTAATGAGTTGATTAAAGTTCTGAAACTAAAATGACATCGGCTTATACTTCTTTTCACTTTTCAGGCTCTCATCTTACCACTACCACCGTGGTTGACAGTTTTAAAAATACAGTCAATTAAGCACACTTTTTCTAGTATCTGCACCAAATGCCCAAATGATATAAAAATGTTGCTGATAGGTGGCTCCAAACTTCTTGAAACTAGTTGCACTGACATTAGGAATCGGGTAAGATGATTGGAATCCTAGTTGATACTTTAAAAAACTTTATAGATATTTGTCTTCATTGCATAAGAATCATAATAACAATACAGATAAAGGTTGTTTTGTGTCATGCAGAAAATGCTTAAAATAGTTTACATATCTGACACTAATTTATTTTTGTACTTTGTATGTACTGTTTATTGTATGCATTTCACCAATAGTTCTATAATCTTTTATAAAAATCGTGTAGGGGAAAAAGTGAAAATCCTTCCCTTCTACTCTTCTAATTCCATTCAATCAAAGCAACTGTTATTTACAATTTTGTGCCTATTTAGCCAGGATTTTGCATATTCTCACTGTTATATGGGTAGGTTTATACCACGGTCTGCATTGATATACAAATCTACATATACATACACATTTTGGCATTACAGTTTGAGTGTGCTGTACGTATTGGTCTGCCACTGTTGCTTTCCAGATGGACTAGATCGTGAGCATCTTCAAAGTTCATGTGCACGAATTTCACTCCATCTTTTTAATGGCTGCAGCATTTCACACAATAGATAAATAACAAATTCTTTATTGATGGAAATTTAGATGGCTTCCTTTTCTTTCAGTAATATGCAATATGATGATGAACATCTCTGTACATTTTTTATGAGTATGCTTTCATCTCTGATGGTAAAGTTCTAAATGTGGCTAATTGTCAATTCAAAAGTATTTTAACAGTTAGTAATAAATAAAACCAAAATTCTTACTCATTTTAGTTTTAAGTTCTTCTCTAACAACCACACTTTTCTAAGGTAAATTTTGCATGTTTATTATTTTCCGAGGGCAAATTTTGCATATTTATTACAAGGCATCCCAACTGGGTCATAGAGTCAAAGGAAATATTCCACCACACAATGCCACACCACTGTAGAATGACAGAATGCTTGAAATAGAATATTTAAGTTAGAACTTGTAAATGAGATATAATTACAGCTCTCAAAATGTGACCATGCTATAGTGACATGTCCAAGAGTAAATTCTTTCCTGCATTCTTGGTATTGATATGCATGTCCAAGTGGTGAGTATATGTTTCTGGAATGTTTAATGTTTCTGTTGGCAGTTGGGCATGGTTTGTCTTATTTTAGGGGAGCTATATCATAGGTCAGTTAATATTTTCTAACGTCATTATTGCATTCCCTCTAACAGATTTAATAGGATATGTGAAAATTTTTGAAAAAGTGACCTAAACATTCTAATCATAACAACATTATGGAGCATTAACATTTTCATGCAACTTATGAAAGGAAGGGAGAGTTTGCCAGAGCACAGAATGCTCTGTTGGCATATAGCTTGAATACCCTGATTTTTGCTGTAGTCTTTGACTCCACTTAAACTGACTCATGACACGTTACTGATCTAGCTTGTTAGCAAAACCACAGTTTATGGAATCCAGATTTGTTCACCACAAAGATAGTTGCATATTTTTTTCACTGTAGATAAATAGGCCTAGTTGAATAGAAATAAGAACATTATTAGTTTTGTGTTTAGAATTGTAATTATGAATTAATGTATCAAGGCAAGGGCAAGGAAGTATTTTTTAGTTGCATAAAATCATTCAACATGAAGGATATCTTCAATGCAAATGGCACATGGGATTTACAGGAGACTAACTGCACTTGGATTTAAAATTATAGAACACTTAAAATGTTAAAATAGTTTTGGGGAAGTTCTAAAGACAAGACAAGTTTTGGTCGAGTTCTCTTGCTAAACCATAATTTATGAAGCACCATCCCAATCTTTGCTTCTCTCATTTAGAAAATTTTAAAGGCAGTGTGGTTTCCCCAGGATTAGTCAAAGGGTTCTTGGTAAGAAAAGTAACTTCAGTTATTGGTCCTTTTGGGTCACAAGTTAAAAAAATGTTATGGCAAGAAATAGATATCATGATATAGCTATTGATGGTTAATGTGCCTGGATATTATTTAAAATAATAAATATTTATTTATAGTAAATAAGGGAGTACTATTGACTTTGCATATATAAAGGGGGCATTTTAATATGTAAATTATACCAGTTTTATTATGACAAGATATACTTTTTGAGGAAAAAAGAAACAGACCAAAATAAATAATAAGTAAAAAATTACGTGACTTTTTTTCTAAAAATCAGAGATCACTCTTTTGAAGGCCTTGTACTATATGATTATCAGATATCACATGGTGATTTAATCCCAACTAATGAAAGTAATGCCAATCCTGTTTTCAATGCAATTCCAAAGTAGAATATTCATAAATTCCAAAGTAGAATATTCATTATAAATATTATTAGTGAAATGGATATATTATTATTTTTTAATTTTTGCATATTTTTATGGTTTCCTCAAGTGTGTGTCGTCTTTTGATTATGTAGCTAAATGACAGGATAAAATAAACATCTCCATATCTCTTTAACTCCAGCAAAATAATAAGTGATGAAAACAAGAGTATTTACCAAATTTCAAAAACCAGATAATCTGTGCCTGTATCTTACCTTTCTTTTGCGAAGTCTCACTTGGTTATCTGTGGGTTCCTGGGTGGCCAGAGTCTCCTGTAAGTGTAAACACTGCATGTCATCTTCTGCTGTGACCTTTGGAGGACTTTTGTTTTGATGTTCTGAGAAATCACTCTTCTCCAGACCATCTTCAGCTGACATTCCACTGCGGCAGGAAGGAGGCTGCAGAAGGCAGCTTCCAATATCTGCTTTTAATGACGGTAGTCCTCTGTCTGTAGAAGGAATAGCCAAGAACTCACCTTGTACTACATTGCAGGTGTTTCTTTCATTTTCATCTTTAGGGAAGTCGGGTTTCCTTCGTTGCTGAGCAATTATGGCAGAATTAAGCAACTGTGTCTCTGGCACAATATCTTTTACATTCAAAGTATCAAATGCATTTACTTTGGGCACATCGTTTATTCCACTTAAGCTTATATCATTGCAAAGTTCCAGGCTTTTACTTATAGTGTCAGTGACTTTTCTCTCTCCACTTTCTTCTAGCAGTGCTAAATCAGCCTTACCAGCCATTCCCCAGGAGTTATAAGAATCTTGGTTACTTTCCACAATGGGCAGTGTCATTACTAAGGAGCCTGCTCCTTCCATCGTACATTGGCCTGGTGCGTTATGCCCTTGGGTAGTTAAAATCTGCTTATCATCTGTAAGGTATAAGTCAGAATCGATATCTTCATCAGAAACATGCACGAGTGTTTCTGTGCTGGCTTCCAGAGACAGAAACTGATCTTCACCTTCATGGCTCTCATCTTCCTCCACCTCTTTTGAAATGCAACCCATTGGCCTCCCAGAAAATTCTCTCAACTCTGATCCATGACAACAGTCTGGTAGTGAAACACACTTCTCCTTGCGGTCCACATTTAGAGTTTCATCTTTTTCCATACTTGCCTGCAAAGTGTCAGCTACTAGTCCATGATGGCATGCTGTGTTATAATCATCAGGATTAAAAGGCTGTCCCATCCATCGGGTCACATGTTCTTCCCAGCTCCTCTTTCTGATAGCTCCAGACATGTCATCATAGTTTAACAACAGACAGAGAGACACATTCCGTATGAGGTTAAAGGAGATGGAACTTGATGAAAGACTACTTCAAATTCACGAATCAAAGAAGGGAGTGAGTTTTATCATTTCACCACCTATTAAAAAATTAAAAAAATATATAGTTATGGATACATTTCTAAAGTCAAAATATATCTTGGAAAAGAGAGCTCTTAATCTGTGCCATTAAAGTTGAAGTAAGAGGCTTTATAAAGCTTCTGTCTAATAGCTTTAGTAGCACTATTTCTTTAAGAAAGAGCCTACCATTAGAAGAAATTTTTACATTTAATATGTCCAGCCAAAAATCATCAGAAATATGATTTAAAGATAGCTATATTGGCCTACTAATGAATACATACTAAACATTTAAAACTCCGTTAAGAAAACACTTGGAATGCAAAACCTCATAAAATCACTGGAAGAAACTTGTTGCTCTAGCTTGCATGCTTTCCTGATTTATTTTTGTGAACACAAGTCATTAAAGAATCTATTTGCTGTTTGGTTTGAATCACAGTGAAGGCCACCAGGGAACTGTTCATGTAAAACTTCAGCTATAGAGACTGCATGTGTAACGTATTAGTGTGTGAAAGAGCTAATACCAATCCCAAACGACCAGGATGTATTTACTCTAGGGAGTGACTAAGAAACATGGAATAATCCAGTTTAGCTCATATTAACACACAATTCATGGATAAGAAAGTAAAACACATACCATTTACAATGCCTTAGGATACATACGTTTCAACATGCATTCTATGATGGTTACCGTTACTACCAGCTAGCAAACTAGCATTTTTGAAGCTTAAAGAAATTAAATAATTTGCCCAAAGTTATACATCTAGGAAATGAGCATAGACTCAAACTAAGTAGTTAACAAACTTCACTGTCTCCATGGAATCATGAGATTCCACCTTCATCCCTACTCCTCACATATCTTTAGCATGTGTAGCCTCTAACCATCTCATGTAAGCAGTCAAGTGAACCAAAAAGGAAGATGTGAGTATAAGACAATTGGGACTGTTTTTGTGAAATTGGAGCCTCATTTTATTTGGCTTCTAAGGAGTTTAGTTTGTATGTTTCTGTTAGAATTTGACCATAAAAATTTTGGTAAACAAGAAAATCATGCATAAGATAAGGTTAGAATATAAACACATTCCAGGTATCCATTCTTTTGCCTTGAATTACTCAAACCCTAAATGGAAATAAATCTTACCAATGTAAACTCAATCTTATAAAAATGACTAACCCAAATGTTATCCTACAATGAAACTGTATTATTGGACTGTGAAAGAAAAATTTCATTCACAGAACAGACACTTTTAGGTTTTATTCCACATAAGAACTGTCAGCACACAACATGGACTGGCTTACTGATTTCGGCCATAAAAAAGATTAACTGCTACGCTCGTTTTGAGTCTCTTGAGTCTAGTGAAAAGGACTCTGACTACCCACCCAAAATTTCAAGCTATTCTGACTAAGTACATGCCCAAAAGATAAATATTTTCATCCTATAAAGACCAGAGAAGTTAAGAAATGTGCTAGAATTTTGGTACCCCATCCTGACCAAATATCTTCCTGGATACTATTTGGTTCCCCCAAAGGTCTATAGCCATCTTTGAAAATGGTCAACCTTCACATTTTCCATGTTGACATTTACTTTGCACTAAAAAATAAAATAAAGTCTTTGAATTCCATGCATAAGTCATTATAGTGTGGGAGGTTACGGAAAGTGGAAAAAACGCATAGATACAAGCCAGAAAATTTCTGCTTTCATGAACAAATTTGGGTTGTAATAGGGCGGTTCTGTCTTAGATGCTTTCTTTTCTTTATTTTTGTCCAGTGTAGAAAGAGCAGGCTAACACAAGACATGCCAAGTGGTATTACTATGTCATTCCTAAGCCACATTTGCATTTAAATTGAGCCTGAATTCTGGCTTCATTTCTTTTACTAAGGAGAAATATGGTTTCATTAACTCCTTGGGAAAAAAATTACACAAAAAATTTCCCCTAAGACCTTATAGTAATATTCATTAACTTATGTCACTCAGTCTTGACAAGTAGGTACGTATTTCTGTCACGTCAAAGGAAGATTTCAACATGTTCTGAGACAATCTAACTGTAAAGAGAGACTGCAAATCAGAAAAATTCATCATAGCTTTAACTCATTCTGTCTTTGTTTCTAATCTAGATTCTCTGGAAATTTCCAGATCATTCCTGTATATGTACCCTGTCTTTATTTTTAAAACATAAGATTTCCTAATTATTCCTATAGCTATCATTATTTACAATTTGAGTGCCCATTCATTCCATCTCCTGTGGTCTGATAGATTTTTTAAAAAAAATAATCTCTGCAAGCTTTCCTACAATTATTGTCAATTGCACTTGAGTTTACTGCCTTCATTTTCTAAATAATCTGAATTGACTCTAATCTGTCCTCTAAGAGAGAGAAGCTTTGTAAAATACTTGACTTTCTTATGAGCTTCCTCACTGGGATGGTTTATTTAAAATTATATTTCAAACTGCTGACTACTTATTTTTCAAATTTCTATTGCATTTCTTTTGTAATCCTATTCATGAAGTTTCATTCAGAATGAGCTCAGCTGCTGAGGATTTGGATGGAGGAGTTGGAAAAGTGTAGGTCATGTCAGGGTGTTGATTTTATGAAGTGAATTTCCATGGGGATTTTTCACTTCTTAAATACATATGTTCAAACACCATGGTATTAATATTACAAGAGACATATATACTTCTAATTATGCAATGATTCTGGAAAATAATTGCGAAATGTTCTCATTTGTGATATTAGTGCATACGAAATTTAAACACAAAGTGATTTCAAGTTTTTTTGTTTGAGTTAATTTTGGAATATTTACCACTCCTTAACATAAGCATTTCATGACTTAGAATATGTATTTTAAAAACTAAACAAAATTGAAAGCTATTGTCTTTAAAAATAACATCTGGAGACATTCTAGTTTGAGAAACACTGACCTACATTTGATATCAAACAATCATGCTCTATATTGCACTTGCTTCTGAAATAAACTTACACCTTATAATCTGGTCTGCCAATTGCCCTCAGAAAAGAAGAGCCTGTGTTTACCAACTGTATATCTGACAAAGGCCTAACATCAAAGATCTACAAGGAACTCAAACGTGACAAAAAGAAAAAAAACCAAACAGCCCCATTACAAAGTGGGCAAAATATATGAATAGACACTTCTCAAAAGAAGACATACAGGCAGTCAACAGATACATGAAGACACATGCTCAGTCTCACTAGTCATCAAAGAAATGCAAGTTAAGAACTACGCTGAGATACCACCTAACTCCAGTCAGGATGGCCATCATCAATAACTCCACAAACAGCAAGTGCTGGAGAGGATGTGGTGAAAAGGGAACACTTCTATACTGTTGGTGGGATGTAAACTAGTACAACCTCTATGGAAAACAGTTTGGTGATTCCTAAAAGATCTAAAAGTCAACCTCCCATAAGATACCACAATCCTCCTATTGGGAATATAACTAGAAGAACTCAAATCACTCTATGAAAAAGATACCTGCACATGTTTATTATTTACAATAGCAAAAACATGGTACCAACCGTGCTGCATTGAAAGAGGACTGGATAAAAAAATATGGTACATATACATGTTTGAATATTATGCAGCCATAAAGAAGGACAAAATTATGAACTTCACAGCAACTTAGATAGACTTAGAGATTAGAATACTGAGTGATCTATCACAGAAACAAAGAACTGAATATCACATGTTCTCACTCATAAGTGGACCTTGAATATCATAATACTGTAAGAAAGGGATTGGCAGTAGTTGGGAATGGCCAGGGGAGGGTGGGAGAAGGATTGGCAGTAGTGGAAAACTGCCAGGTTGGGGGGGCACATCCCTTCCACAAGGGTACCTGCATAATGAACACGTGCATACCTCACCCTCAATTGTACCCCACATCTTTAAAATAAAAAATTTTATAAAAAAAAGAGAAAAGAAGAGTCTGCTGATAATCACTGTTGCTTCTTTTACAACCTGAGAAAGGGAGGCACAAATGAAGTATCTGTGGCTGAAATCAAGTATGGATACTGAAGAATTGACAGTATTAGATCATAATCACTATTAAAGAAGCATTTATTTAGTACCCAATGAATGGCAGAAACTTTGCAAAATATTGGGAATATAAATTTATATAATATATTCTACCTTTTCTATTGAAGCTTTTCTACTGAAACTCACGTTAAGGAAACTCATGTAGGGCAACCTCTCAGGTGCCCTCCCCCCATGGGTGCTTTTCTGTCTTCTCAATAAATCCTACTTTCTCACCTTCTGGCTACAACGAACAACAACAAAAAAAGAAACTCATGTAAAAAAGGATTATAAGTCCTATAATGTTAGGTCTTTGATGTATTTAGTGTTGACTTTCGTGTATGGCGATAGGTAGGGGTCCCGTTTCATTCTTCTGCATGCAGTCAGTCAGTTTTCCTAGCATCATTTGCTGAATAAGGTTTCCTTTCCCCAGTGGTTGTTGTTGATGACTTTATCAAAGATGAATTGGTTGAGAGATAGAGGTTTTGCTTCTGGAATCTCTATACTGTTCCATTGGTCTATATGCCTGTTTTTGTACCAGTACCAGTCTGTTTTGATTATTGTAGCCTTACAGTAAAGTTGAAAGTCTAAACCTTAAACTATAAGAATCTTAGAAGAAATCACAGGAGACACCCCTATGCACATTGGAATAGGCAGACAATTCTTAATTACACTGCCAAAAGTGTATGCCATAAAAATAAGATAGACAAGTGGGGCTTCATCAAACTGAAAAGCATTTTAAAAGCAAAAGAAACTATCAGGAAGCAAGGAAACAATCTACAGAATGGGAAAAAAATATTTGCTAACTATATGTCTGACAGGACTTAACATCCAGGATGTATAAGAAACTCAAAAGGGCCAAAAGGAGAAAAACAAACAGCCCTATTAAAAAGTGGGCAAAAGATATGAATAGACACTTCTTAGAAGAAGACACACAGCAGCCAACAGATACATGAAAAAATGCTCAGCCTACCTAATCATCAGAGAAATGCAATTCAAAAC